TATTATCATATTTTGGGTTAAATTTCGATTAATGTCTATTTATTTACTTTCATTATATTTTAGTCCTTATCTGTTTATTATTACATTTTATTAAAGTTCGAATTTGGCCATATTATTTTATGCATGTTTCGTTTTGGTCCTTGTTTAATATTTGACTTAATTGTGGTTTAGTTCTTTATGTTTTTTTCATTTCATTTTAGTCCTATACATGATTTATGGGCTATTTTTAGCTTAGTACATATGCTATTTAGTTTTTTTAGTATGAACTCTGATTTATCTGAAATTGTTATTTTAGTTTTTATTTTCTGTTTCTTTCATTGTAGTCATTTATATAGGAATTTATTATTTGGTTATTTGTATTATGTAAATAATGTTGTTCGTTTCATTTAATGTAAAAATTCTACTTTGCATATTTTTATTTATATTTATTTCCATTGTATTTCTCTATTGTATATTATTCGAATAATTTCAAGAACACATATTTATAGAACGGGCGTGGAAAGTCTCACCGGATCGAGGTGGTACAATCCGATACGACGTTCAAACTGAATAAATAAAAATGCAAATTCTTCCTTTTACAAGCTTATAGAAATTATTTTATTGTTATTTTATTTTTTTTTGATTAATTTATTTGATGTTCATATTGTTTAATATTTAGATTTTAATATTTATTATTATTTCTTCATTGAATCTTAATATGAGTGATGTATGCTTTGGAAAAGTATAGTTTGATGCATTATGTCAATTTTCGTCATTTTTTTATTTAAAGAGAAAATATTCTTTACAAGTAAGAAATAGACGAGGTAGCTTTCCCGGCGGAGGATTGCAAATCTCGGGATTTCTTATCGAGAAAAGGATTTTTTTTTATTTTATTTATTTATTTTAACTAATATTCAATAAATAGATCATAATTTATTTATTATTCTATTTTTCATAATTTTTATTGTATTAATGGTTGTTATGTTAATATTAACGATACATAAATTAAGCATATTTTATTTTCTACTCATGACGATATTATTTAGTGGTAATTAAAAGATAGGATATACTTTATAGATAAGAAATAGATGAGATAGCTTTCCCGTTGGAGGATTGCAAATCTTGAGATTTCTTACCAAGTGAAGTATTTCTATTATTTTATTTTAACAAATATTCGATAAATAGATCATATTTTTTTACTTCATATTCAAATTGTAATTTCCACCATTTACGACGATGTGTAAGCGACACAGTACCAATTTTGGGCGTTATGGGGGTGTTTATCCTTCCCCACACGTAACCGACTCCCGAATCCATTTTAATTGAATCTTTGGTAAACGCAGACTATTTTTGTCTTAAAAATGATCTTTCTTAAAATTGTTTTAAAAAAACGTTTTTAGGTATTCGGTCTACCTAACCCAAAGGTCGATGGTGACTCTTTTTAATTTTATTCAAATCAATTCAAAATCACCCATTTTTTCCAAATTAAAGTCATAATTGTTTTTAAAAATAATATTTAATTGTTTTACAAAAAAATGGTTAAGACACCCTTTCTTTATGAAACAGGCTAATTAAAAAGTTTATATTTCATGCTATATAATATATTTATACCATATATGGATAATGAACGTATAACATTTTAATAATAATCAAATAACTTTTTCTAAGACACTGAATTTTTAGTATACAATAAATTAAGAATATTGTAATTCTTAATTACAATCATCGCTTCTTCTTCGGATGGAAACTTTATTCCCTTATATAGCTCATCATCATTGACTGATGAGTTAAATCCATATTTTATCCTCAAATTATGGTCCGTACATTGCATCATAGTCAGCTTCATATATGTGTGCTAGAGGTTTGGTGTATAGTATTTGTGGGAACTTTATCTACACCATCATCATCGGAGTCCATGTTAAACTGCGGTGATTTTGGCTCAACGAATAGTCCAGTCTCAACACCATCATCACCTAGCTCACGAAGAGATTCTTCTGGTGGAAATGAGGGTTCCTATATGATGTCGATATTTAGGTCGAACAAGCTGACAGTTGAATGTCTTCCCTTTGAACTTGAAGACATCGTGTCAAACGAGTTTTAAACTAAGCGTTGTGTTGCAGGCATCTCCACATTGAGGTCAAATAAACTTGCAGTTGAATGCTTCCCCTAGAACTTGAAGGCATCGTGTTAAATGGGTATTTAACAGATTGTTGCGTAGATGTCATCTCTATTTTTAGGTCAAAGAAATTGGCATGCGAATGCTTTCCCCTTGAACTGGAAGCGATGTTGCCATACAAATTGTTCGTGGAGCCGCCTTGGTAGAGATCGTAACAAGTTGTTGATGAATGTCTCCCCATTGGACTTGATGGGATGGTACCAAGATGTAGATTTCGCATTAACGAGTTAAAAATCATTACACATTACTTGAGTTGGGTTATCAACTTGTTGAGCCAGCCCATAGTAAGGGCATAATGACATACCACGAACAATAGATACTTTAACAAATACGTCATACATTTGTGTAACAACGTCTGAATTTTGATTCTGAGCATCAACCATCATAACAACATCGTCATCGTTGGAGAGTTAGAACACTATATAAGTTAATGGAAATAGTGATGTTGGAAATATGTACTGAAGTGAGGACAATCTTCTAGTACTCCAACATGGACCTTCTTGGAAATTTTAGTGATTAGCCTCTGTTTTGAAAATCGGACCGGACCGTTCGGTTCAACCGGTTCAACCGGGAACCGTTGCCTAGTCTGGTTTAATCTAAATCGGTTGAACCGTTCGAACCGGACCGGCTGAAAACTGGAAAAAACCGATTTTTTTTTAAAATTAAACCAAACGTCAAACGAGCCAAGTCGAACTCGAGTATTGCTGAGCTCGACTCGAACTTAAAAACTTTAAAAGTAAGCTTAACTCCACTCAAACTCACAAGTTAAAAATTATCAAGTTCAACTCGAACTCGAAATTTAATATTGAAACTTGAACTCAAAACGGCTTGAACTAAAAAAAAATTTAGAAGCTCAATTGAAGCCTAAAATTCGAGCTTTATTGAAGTGAAAGAATAGTTCACTTAATGCTCACCAAAAGGTTCCATGATTTTGAATGCCAAATTACCTCTATTATTTATAGAAGTTAGTTGGGATGCTCTTCTATGTTTCTTAGCAATGTGTGATTGTTTTATTCTCATATTTTTACTCTTTAGACTTTTGGGATGCTCTTCTATGTTTCTTAGCCATGTGGGATTGTTTTTAAAAAAAAAATAAACCAAACAATATCATTTTGTTATGATTTTTTTAGCCCCAAATTTATTTTTTAATTATAGTTATATAATTATATTTATTATTTAATATGTTTTACCTTAAATATTATGTTGTAGTTAATTTGAATCATTTTGTTTCATTTGATTTTTATGGTTTTTAATTTATATATGTTATGACTTGCTTTGAATATAACTTGTGATATAAAAAATTATTTTTTATTTAATTTTTTTAAATAATTATGACATCATCCGGTTCTTCCGACCGGTTCGACCGATTCAACCAGTGAATCGATAGCATGACCGATTTGTTAACTGATCCGGTTCTGAAAACCATGTGATTAGCTCCTAAAAATTGATGCTCCTCTTGAAGGATAAACTGACAGAATGATTTGATACGAAAATAACGTCGGAATAATGACAGTAAACCGCAGTTGACCAAACACACCTTCATATTTTTTATATCTATAATATACAAACATATGGCAGAATCGACAAACTCAACTTGAACTTAACCTTTAATTGATAGAAAAATTATAATTATTCGAGTTATATTTATAATTTGAACTTTTGAAATTCTTTTACTAACATAAATCAAATTATTATTTTTTAAATCAAATCAAGTTTTATTGAATATATATATATATATATATATATATATAAATGCTCTGCAAATTGTTCATATTTATCACTGACATCTGAATTTATGTGTGTTTGTGTGGTCTCCTATGGGAAAGAAGAGAAAATCAAATTTCTTTGTCAGATATTTAATGGAGAGTCTATGCCAGTAGTCTTTTAGAGGTGATTGACCAATTATCCACTCTCTGCAAACTTTCTCTGGAGATTTTCACAAGAGCCCATCGCCATCAAGTATAATTTCTTTGTATACCCTTTGTAAATTTCTTCAAAAACCGTACCTTTTTTCTGAAATCTCCCCCTTCTCTCTTTAAACCTGTTTTTGTTTTCTTTTCCCCAATATATATTTTTTAAAATTTTCCCCCTTGAATTCTAAAAGGTTAGATTCTCATGTTTTGGTTGGTTGAAAAGTTTACCGCTGGAAAGGGAAAAAGTTTTTAGCGGTTGAAGTGCCAGTATCACGATAGTGCCATTACTATGATATCCAGGTGCTCTTTCCTTTTAATGGATTTTTCTACTGTTTTTGTGAAGAATTTTTAGGTTTAAATAGTGAGACAAGATATGAGTTGATGTAAGTTCTCTTTCCTTATTTTGTTTCAGGACTCAAAGATCTTCAAATCACTGGGTTTCTTGTGGTTGTGACAGTGAATGGATGTATGTTTGTTACATTTTCTAGCCGATTCAAGTTATTTGCTGTACAAATTATGGAAATTCTTAAGTATTTGCAGTAAAAATCTGTTGATTATGTGGGTCTGTGCTGTTAGAACTGTTGTTATCGAGTAAAGTTTTGATTTACTGAAAATTTTTGTTTGGAACTTGAATTCTCAGTCAATCTGTGCAGACTTTCTGGGTTTATATATATATATTTTAATTTGTTTTTTGCATTGTCACTTACATATGTTTCGCAATCGAAAACCCTAATCTTGTTATTGTTGAATTCACATAGCATTATATATATATATATATAATTCTATGAACTGTCATTCGTTATCTTAGATTTTATGGCTTAGAGATATTTGTTGTCTAATACTTTGTTGCCCTTTCATTCATCAATAGGTCAGCAATTCCCAAAAGTCCAATTCTTTAATCCACCGAGCAAAAAATATTATCGAATTCTTCACATACTCTTCTGCGACTTTCTGATTTTTTTGGACTTCAATCTCGGATTAAGCTTTCATCGGCTTTTCCTGGGTTTTCTTTTCATTCTGTTCTTGCATATCTCATTTCTTGACATCTCTGCTGTTCTTGAAAAATCTGTGGTTTGGGAGATGGATTACAGACTATAGTGATTTGGACATTTAGTGAATTTAGTTCTTGCTTCCCGCAGGTGATTTTCTGGATACCGGTATTTGACGACTTAGATGAGTGTGGATGAAGCCGGTAGCAGCTCCGAGTGGACTAGGGAGCAAGACAAGGCGTTTGAGAATGCCGTTGCAACTTATCCCAAGGACTCTTCAGATCGGTGGGAAAGAATGGCCGCAGATGTACCTGGAAAAACTTTGGAAGAGATTAAAGAACACTACAAGTTTCTAGAGGATGATATTAACGCGATTGAAACAGGTTGTGTGCCTCTGCCGCCGTATAATTCTTCCGAGAGTTCAGCAGGCCATGCCGGTGATGATGGAGCTGGTAAGAAGGGAACCAGCCAGTTAGGGCATTATAACAGTGAGTCAAACAATGGGAGTAAGAATTCAAAGTCAGATCAAGAACGCCGTAAGGGAATTGCTTGGACAGAGGATGAACACAGGTGAATTACTTTTTGTGGTTTAAAATTCTTTGGCAGTTCTTACTTCTGCATACATTATAAATAGATTTCCTCCAAAGAGGGATTCAAAAGTCCAATGGACTTACTTTTGACCTTCTTTCCTGAACCTTAGAATTGCCTAACCAGCTCGTATTTGGAATCCTTTATTTTTATTAGCTATTAGGAAGCTCTACGTGGCTTCGAAGTCATTAATGTGTGTGAGGCCAATAAATGAATTACATATCTGGAAATGATGTGAAACAGCTGAAAAGAACATCGAATTTTGATGTTACCATGTGGGAGAGAGATCTTTCTGGTGGTGGTTCGTTTCATTTGTATGAAACGTCTGCCCTTAGCTGTATGTTTTGATTGCCTTGTAATCTCCTAACATGCTCGTATTTAGAATCCTTGATTTTTATTAGTTGTTAGGAAGCTCTGCGTGACTTTGAAGTCGTTAATGCGTGTGAAAGGCCAATAGATGAGTAATATATCCGGAAATGATGTGAAGCAACCGAAAAGAACATGGAATTTCAATGTTACCACGTGGAGAGGGATCTTGCTGGTGGTTCATTCCTCTTTTCCAGAAAACTCGTGCCCTAAAAGAAGATAATTACTATCTTTAAACGTCATTTGTATGAAACTTGCTCCCTTTAGTCATATGTTTTGATTGCCTTGGAATCACCTAACCTTTTCATATTTAGAATCCTCGACTTTTATTAGTTGTTAGGAAGCTCTACATGGTTTTGAAGTGTCAGTGTGTGTGAAGGGCCAATAAATGAATAATATATCCGGAATTGATGTGAAATAGCCGAAGAGAACATGAAATTTCAATGTTACCACGTGGGGGAGAGATCTTTCTGGTGGTTGGTCATTTTCTCTTTTCCAGAAAACTCGTGCCCTAAAAGATCGTAACTGCGATCTTTATACGTTACTTGTATGGCATGTGTGCCCTTTTGTCGTATTTTTTCGATTGCCTTGGAATGCATAACCTGTCTGTATTTAGAATCCTTGATTTTAGTATATTTTTGGAAGCTCTACGTGGCTTTGAAGTCGTTGGAGTGTGTGAAAGGACAATAAATGAATAATATACCCGAAAATGATGTCAAATAACCAAAGAGAACGTGGAATTTTGATGTTACCACATGGGAGAGATCTTTTTGGTGGTGGTTCATTTTCTCTTTTCCAGAAAACCCGTGTCCTAAAAGATCATAACTACTATCTTTGAACATTACTTGTATGATACATGTGCTCTTTTGTCGTATGTTTTGATTGCCTTGGAACCGTTTCACCTGTCCGTATTTAGAATCCTTGATTTTTATTGGTTGTTAGGAATCTCCACGTGCCTTTGAAGTCGTCAGTGTGTGTGTGTGAAGGGCCAATAAATGAATAATATATCTTGAAATGATGTGAAATAACCGATGAGAACATGGGATTTCAATGTTACCACATATGAGAGATATTGCTGGTAGTTCATTCTCTTATCTGGAAAATTGTGGCCTAAAAGATGATAATTACTATCCTTAATCGTCATGTGTTTGACACTTACTCCCCTAATCCACAGATTAAGCGTTAACCCTGTCTGACATGAGCTAACATTTTGGAAAACCCCATATTATCCCTCCTTTTAAAGCTAAAGTCGGTATTTGAGGTATCGGTTTCTTTCTGCTGACATATGTAGTGCTAGCTGAAGTTGATTCTGATATGGAAGGAAATGAATAGCTTGAGAAGGGTTATGGTACAGGATGTGGATTTAGTTTCTTCAGCCATTTAAAGCTTGCCGATTTTGTCTCGTATTTTTGATAATTTTCTATAGATATTAGAGATGTTGATTTGCTCCTCTTTCTTCCTTCATTTTTCGAAGTTTAGCATTAGTTGTAATCTTTTCTTTAGCAAGACAACAAGCAGATAAGGAAATATAAAAGGCAATGGGGAAAGATAGAGACCAATCAAAGACAAACTGATTGTAATTCTTAACTTATAGAGTACTTGTTATGGTATGGTGATGTCTTTACAACGGGCACTCATGCTAGCGAAATGCTTATGGACTTTGGTTTTGTAAGACTGTTAAACAACTCTCCCGAGCCCTACCCTAACCTACATGGCCTTCTTTAGGAGTTGTTTGTCTGAAGCCTTGGATCTGAATTTAAAGCGAAGGTAGGAGATTCCCTTGACGTTTTTACAGATACACACTGAGAAGTTATTTGAAAGAATCGGATAAGAAGTGGTAGGTTCTGATGCTTTAATATGCTTTGATCGATGATCAGTAACGGATTAGGCATGCATGAGAAATCTTCTATATTGTTTGTATTTACCGATATAAGTTAGTGATACGCTTGAATAATCTCGAGTTGGTGCTTTGCTTGTCATTTTTGTTTTGAAGTGATTTGGCTTCTAAAATACTGCTGTAATTATGGACAGCTTGATATAACAATGGGTTACTTGTGAGACTTTTGAACATTGAACTTGTCATCAGCATCTCCTACTACCTATGTTGCTCCGACTCTTCATTTTTTCCCCTAAAGCTCCTATATTTGATACCCGTTCCCGACACATATCCGTGCTCCAACCCCTCCATTTCAATGGTGTCTGTACTTGCCCTATGAATGTGAGATGTATTTTGATATTATTTTGACCAATGAACTTGTTATATTATGATTTTAATGCTGTGTTTTATTTGTTTTTTAATCTTGATGATCAGGTTATTTCTTCTTGGTTTGGATAAATACGGGAAAGGTGACTGGCGAAGCATATCCTGGAACTTTGTGGTCACAAGAACGGCAACCCAAGTCGCGAGTCACGCTCAAAAATATTTCATCAGATTGAACTCAATGAACAAAGATAGGAGGCGATCCAGCATCCATGATATTACCAGTGTTGGCAACACATACATTTCATCACCCCAAGGTCCAATCACTGGTCAATCAAACGGCCCTGCAGCCGGATGTTCTGCTGGTAAACCAACCAAACAACCTCCCGTACATTCTGCCGCACCTTCCGGTATAGCTGTGCAAAGTGTTCCAGCTATTGGGCAACCTATAGTAGGTCCCCTTGTCTCAGCAGTTGGCACACCAGTGAATCTCTCTGCACCGGCACGTATGGCTTACGGAGTCAGAGCAACTTTACCGGGAGCAATGGTTCCGGGTGCACCTGTGACATATCCGATGCCGCATGCATCCGCTCATAGGTAATGTGATGATGTCTAGTTGCAAAATGTACAAAGAGAAGACTATTTGCCTGTGCTGATAATCAGCATTGGTAACAATTGCTTAATTGCTAGCACAAGTTGTGTGTGTCATCTATTTAATCTTAATAAGGCCATAGGGAGAGATTTTAAATGGATTTTTCTAGGGAAACTATGGAAAATGAAAATGTTAAATATGGCAGATTATTGGTTCGGACACCATTTTTGCACCCTCTTTTATTAGCATTAGACTCTGTGGATGAACTATCTCTTAGGAACGAGCCTCGGTTTTTTGCTTGTTGTAAACGACCTACTAGGTTGTCATTGTATTCGTATTATGTCTCAAGCGTTTTATGTAATAGGTTCTGAATGTTCCCGTTTAATAGAAGAATTGCCCTTCGATAACCGATCTTGTACGGTGATAAACTTGTTAATGGTCAACGTAGACGGGTATATTTTTCATATTTGGACCGATTTTGTACCTCATTGCTTATGATAGTTGTCTATTTTAGAGAAGCATGCACCAGGAATCAGCATCAATCAACTGCAAGTATGCTGAAGATTCATGAGAAACAAAACCAGTCAATAAATTTTAAGATTCACACACACCAATACTGCATAGGCACCAATAGATGGAACTCCTTCAATCGAGCTCAAAACTCGTTTAGAAACATTTTTGAGCCAACTAACCGATACGATCAAACGAAACGAAAGCACTTCTTGGGAGAGGAAAACGTAAGTCATTCCCAACATTAAGAATGGGATATGACTCTTATATTCAATAATTTTCTTTTGAATAGTCCAAAACGATTACAAAGTAGTATCTGTTCAAAAAAAATTAATCAATTGATAACGTACACCATTTGTAGACGCTACTCGATGATAGTTCTCACTCATGAAGTACTTTCCTAAAATGAACTAAAAGATAACATAAACTAAACACAATTAACTCTCGATTCGCCGAATTCAATAAGACCTGAGAATTTCGAGAATAATACTCATCAACAAAATCTACTCGATCCATGTCTAGGTGGATATGCGTTGTGTCAATAGATACCCTACATGTTACCGGTTCATGTTCTACAAATAAAAGAGCACAGTTCTCATAAAAACCATCTTTTGGTGGTAGGTTTAGCAAAGAAGATTTTGGAGTGGACACCGTTTGTTTACTGCTAGTACTAGTAAAGTTTTCCCAGTCTTCAACCATCAATAACAGGCGATGTGGGCGACCTAGAAGCTCCGACACACATTTCATGTCACCTTCAGCTAGAGCGCGACGAACACGGGTAGACGAAACTTGCCCCCTGTCTTTTAAATCGTAACGATTCATATTTCTAGCATCTTGGTGCCTGTCCATGACAGAATTTATAATGTAAGCACTCATACCAAATTCATCACACAATCTCACCAATTCTGAAGCTTCGCCTACAGCTTTATAACCAAAGCGATAGTTTTCACCTGTGACAATTAGCCATTAAAACAACCTATTTTAACTTGGATGAATTAATATTTCACAAGATAATTTCGAGAAAAATAGAATCTAAGAGTTCATACAGCTTTTAGAATACCTGCTACAACTCCACAAACTCCCAGCTCCTTTGCAAGCTTCTCCACAAACTCTGTCGGGCTAAGATGCCTAACACTCGTAAATCGAATATGGAATTCCTTGGGAGCCACGTTACCACAATACGGAGCCCAAGAGGAAAGAACACGCTCACGATCACATCGGGCAACTATGGGAGGCCTGTTGAAAATCCATACTTGGCTTCTTTAGGACCAAGTGAAAATAGCCAAAATGTTTAAAGCATTACACAAACATTATCCGTATATGTAGATCATAGTACTAAATGGTGACCACATCTTAATGTTTTTCAAGGTTATTGCGACACCGCATCAGCATTTAAAAACATGGTTATTTTTAGGAAACTCAAACAAATCATGTCGTAACATCCTTAACCGCGATACTGCAGCAGCAGCTGAAACCACAACCACAACCACAATTTAGTACTATGAATTGTAGATTATATAAACTTTACCTAGGCTCCCAACCAAGGACTTCGGCCATTCCTACAAACGACAAAAGATATGGAGTTCCAACCTTAGATGCTTGAATTGCAAGTTCTCTATGACCAATATGAAGAGCATCAAACTTTCCCAATGCAACAATCCCTCCTGATGTATTCATGCCAACAAATAACATAAAAACACTAGCACAAATATATACACATACACACACACACACACACTCATATTAGAAGTGAAGAAGTAGAACACCAAAAAGATACCTGCCACTGAGGATAATACTTCGGAAGGCCTCTCATGATTGTCTTCTTGTTGGCTTTACACAAAAGAAAACATTTAGTTGCCTAATTAGATACTTAGTCCAAAAAACAGAGCCCTATATCAATATTATAGTTAAAACTACAATTTTTTTCTTGCGCTTAAAATTGAATAACGTAATCATTATACTACTGGAATTGGTTAAAGAAATAGGTCACAAGAAATTGAATGATTTTTTTTTATAAAAAAAGCAATAATCAAGCAAACAGCTGAAATAGATAACATAAGCGAAACTAAATATTATAACAAAATTTACGGCTAAAAAAATATTCGGGAGGGAAGAAACAAGAACCTCAAGGAGTCGAGGAGAAAAGGAATGTCGCCGGCGGATTTGGACTGAAGACTGGAAGAAGAAACAAATCGGGGATGAAACCGATGATTATGAGAATTATTATCGACAGACGCGGCGGCGGATATGGCGGAGGAAGGAAGTTTAACCGTGAAAGAAGAAGAGAGCTGCAAGATTCCGGTAGAGCAAATTCCTAACCTCAAATTTTGATGAGAGATTCGAGACCTGCTACAACACAACATTTTTGTTCAAAATTTATCTTCTTCCTCCACCAGAACTGGAACTACATAGTTCCTCCGAGAAGAAGAAGAAGAAGAAGAAGAGCAGCGGGCAGGGCTTTTGCGGCTTTGCGCTTTACACCGTATGCCATTTTTGGCGTTGGGGCCTACCCGCTTCTTTTCCTGATATTTGTCACATTTATTAAAGGACAAATTACGTATTTAGTACCTAAATTATTAGTTTTAATACGTTTTAGTACTTAACTTTCAATTTTTTTAAAAGCATACCTAATGTTTAGTTTTTATTTTGTTCTAATACCTTGCCGTTAAAAACTTAACTTACACGTGGCACCTTTTTTATAGGTAAATTGTATCATTCATCACTCAACTATCTTCTCACACTTATTTTAGTCACTCAAATTTAATTTTTTTAATTTAATTATTTACTTTTCAAACTACTCCCAATTCAATACTCTAAACTTTCAAATTTATTTATTTTTATTTTTAATTATATATTAATAAAATAATAAAAAAATTAATCTCATAAAAATTATTAATAAAACAAAATAGAGTGATTAAAATATGAGCAATTTGAAAGTTGAGTAGCTAAATTAATTTTTTAAACTTTAGTACCAAAATAGGAGTGAGAATATGGTTGAGTGATGAATGATGTAAGTTACCTATAAAAAATATAGTGTCATCTTTTAACGACGATATACTAAAATAAAATAAAAACTAAACGTTAGATATGATTTTAAAAAAAAATAGATACTAAAACAAATTAAAACTTATAGTTTAGGCACTAAAAACGTAATTTACCCTTTATTAGATTTAAGGGTTAATGAACCTTTTGTCGATGAATTTGGTTTTGATATGCAATTTGCCCCGAGTTTGGCTTTGATATGCAATTTTCCCCTTACTTTTTTACACTTTTAAAATCACGGTTAAAGTTCTTACTTATAAATTTAAATTATATAAAGTTTTAATATTTATATTTTAAATTTTAATTTAGTAGAAACTCAGATATTAAAACCGAAGTCAAAAGTCAAATTGCACATAACAAAAAATTTAAGGACCATACAAGGTTAGAGATTATGAAAGGACAAAAATAGAAGGAAGAAAAACTATGAGCGAAAATGTGTACAAATATTTAAAATATAAAATTTTTTGGGGTAAACTACGCGTTTAGTTTCTAAACTATAAGTTCTTATATGTTTTAATACTTAAACTTTTATTTATTTCAAAATCATATCTAACATTTAATTTTTGTTTCATTTTAGTAACCACTGTTAAAAATTTAATGTGTTTAATACCTAAAGTTTTAATTTTAATCTATTTTAATACTTAATTTTTCAATTATTCTCAAAACTTAACGTTAAAATTTTAAAGGAGGTACTGAAAAAAAAAATTAGGTATAATTCTGAAAAAATAAAAATTTAAGTGTTAAAATAGTAACAATTTAGGTACTAAAGTCATAATTTACTCTAAAATTAATCTAAAAAGAAGAAATGTGAGTGATATGCCGAAAACACATGTTAACACGAGTTGACATGTAAATATATAGTTCTGCGAAAATAATAATATCTTTTAATATTTCGGTAAAACGTTAATTAAAATATTATTTGTTACCAGAAATATTAATTTCGTTACTTAATTTTAGATAGAAAACTAATATTTTAGGTAACAATCAATATTAATATTTTCAGTAAAAAAAAATAATGTTTTACCAAAAATGTTAAACAATTTAAGTAACACCTAATATTAACATTTTCGGTAAAAAAATATTTTAGACAACATTTTGCCAAAAATAGGTAATACTTTATCTTAATCATATATTAAGACCGTCGTACCGAAAACATTACCATTATATTTTAAAGTTTCTGATTACCACTAACACGTACATTTCTTCTTTTTTACATTACTTTTTTTTTCGTTCTATTTTAGTGCCTAACTTTTATTTCGTTCCAGTTTAGTGTATAATGTTTCATTTCGTAACTCAAATCAGGTCAGGTCGTGACAAACCTTTAATTTTGGAAGTTAAGTGACAATCACTTAACGTCCAAAATAAATGATCCGTCACGGCCTGATTTGAGTTATGAAATGAAACGTTAGACACTAAACTAGAACGAAATAAATGTTAGGCACTAAACTAGAACGAAATAAATGTTAGACACTAAACTAGAACGAAATAAATGTTAGGCACTAAAACCAAAGGCATACGGCATACGTTGAAATTTTAAGCCAATTACAAAAATAGACTGGAATAAAGATGCTAATGGCATTATCATTTCTCAGAGCAAAAAATCATTCAACTCTTGCACAACTGCACCGAGTTCGTTTAAAACGAGCGAGATGTCCGGGCGGATTCGATT